AATGAAATAAACCTATTTTTAAAAAGATGTGAGTAACACTTAGTATATATTTCTAACAATAGAGTACCAGCCTTGGGCGTTTCCTATACTTGATATTGTAATGCAGAAGAATCGAGATAAACAGTCTAATAATGAAAATAACACTTACTAAATTTGATGCGTTCGAATCGCTTTTCAGATTTATCCTCATCAGAAAATCTGAAAATCAACATTTGAAAGCCAAGGATGTATAACTACTTGAAATCATAGCGGCTATATGAACAAAAGGAACATACGAAGAAAAGAAACATTTACTTAAGTAAACTTTCACCGAGAGAGTCTAGTTTCTCAATTATGTTTAATTTTTCAACGGAGAATTACGGAAGATCATGCAAGTGTCAAGGCACTGATTACTGAGCTGATTATACTCTCTGGGACTAGCAGTCTACCAGCAGCGTTATAGATCCAGTACTAAAAAATAAAAAAAAATTAAAACGCTTTATATATAATTGGTGCGTTTGAAGCATATTTCTTGATTTACCTTCATTAAGATCGTTCAGTCCCAAACATTTGGAAGCAAAGGATGTATAATTACTTGAATACATGTGGACCTGTATGACCAAGAGGGTAATAAGAAATAGCCAAATTCGACAAATGTTTCTTGATAATTTTTCAAGAAAGAATTTAAGAAAGGTACTGTAGCGCACTGACTACGGAGTTGATGATATCCTCGAGGACTGGCAGTCCACCAGAAGCGGTATACAATAAGACATGCTTCAATACGTTTTCTTGGGTTGTATTTTTAAATGAAACTGTTTTGATAATTTAAAATTTAAAACACCGCTTGGGTATTTTATTAACTCTTGTTGTATTGCCGTTCTTTGTACAAAATTACTGGAGATTTCGTTAGAACGTGTTTATCTTCACTTATCATGACAATAAAATATTTTATCGCTTCGAAAAACAGTGGTCAAAATAAAAATTCTATATAAGCAGATAACGTTATGTTAGTTTGCATTCAGTTACTCCGAGCATTTGTAATATAGTAAACATTTTATTAAGTACTTGTGTTGATCTCATTTTTATGTAATACAGTAAAAGTCTGTGTTTAGCTGATTCAAATATACATTTTATTTTTCCACAGTTTAATACAGAAACAAAAGAAATTAAGTACGAACATGTAAAGACTATTTTAACTCCGCCATGTATCAATATCCCATTCTCACCAAATTATACAATAGAAATTGTGATTAACGTCTTATGGAAACAAAATTTGCTTCGACATATGCACATATACATGTTTGAATAAAAGAGATATGAGATAAACATCAAAGAGCCATCATTAGAGTAACAGTAAAACAGGAAAGCTATCTAATTGTCAACGCACAGTCTTCACGAAGTAAAGGTTGCAGTCTTGTAATTGACTGCTCCATAGGCTTACCTGCAAAACAGCTGATCTTTGAAAATAAAAAAATAAAAAATACTACATAGAAAGTTTTTTCCGTGTTCATATCATGTATGCACTAATGTGAAATTGTGATTTAATCGAAAAAAAAGTGGGTCATGCCACGAAGAATAAAAAGGAATGTAACCCTGAAGTCAAAACTGTTTTTTCTACTTTCTGTTTGCTGTTTTTACTAGGCCGCACCACTTCCAGTAAATATGATATCCTTCCACTTTCCTGGATTGATATCCCCAAAAAGATGCAAGATTTTTTTAAAATCTATATATATGTTTCAATTCAGCATAAACTTTTCATCAAACAGAATAAATTGAGTCCAGAAAAAAATTCAGAAAAAAATGGATTATTTTATTTCTTTCCATGTTGTGACATGCACCGGAAAATGGAGTTGTAATACAAGACTGGTACCTATAACTGTAATGGAATGTCTGAAAAAAATAAATCATTTATATTGTTTCATTAAGTAGCCATATTTGAACATTAAATATGCCATTAAAAGAATTGTTTAGTTGTATTATTAAATATAATCCCATTATCAAAGGAGTACCCTTTTCTGAAACAAGGCAAAATTTGGAAATAAGTCATGCCTTTCAAATGATCTGTAAATCTCATTCTAGTCTATCTTTATGAATGTTTACTAATTATTTGGATACTGTGAAGCTAGAAGAGAATTCTTATCTATTATTTTTATTTTTTTCCTTCTCTTTGATTGAACCACTTTCAGTATTTTACCCCTTCCCCTTTTTTCCATGAAATCTATCCAAGTGGGCCTCTTGTTTAATTCAAATTGAAAAACTACCCCAAAACTTTTTCATATTGAAGAATGTGTTGCAATACAACTATGTAAAGACAAGAAAGACTATACCTTTCTCTTTTTTTACTATACATCTCTTTATACATGCCTACTATATGATGGTTTTTAGACTGTACTTGATACCCCCATGCATATAAAATTGGCAATAAATTCAAGAAAAAACAAAATGAATACTCAAGTTGGTGTTTTTGGAAAGATAATTGAATACTTGTCACACCTAAACAAACAAATGCTTGTCATGATGGATAGTTTTAGAAAAATTATACTTTTTAAACACATTTTTAACCCAAATATGGAATTTGCAATTAACCATGCAGTGCCGCAGACAGGAAAAGAAATCATAGACTCTTGTAAAATGAAAATTTTGTGAAAATCTTTTCATCAAAAGTTCATTTCATATATATTCTACCTAAATGTCATCAATTTAGCCATAAAAATAATAACCCTAAAGAAAAAAAATACTTTTGTATGTAGCTGTCTCTTCAACTTTACACTGATTTTCAATGAAACTGGGCAACTAGAATTTTCATCACAAAAAGAAGATTTCATGGAGGAAAAAATCTTTCTATGTTCTTTTTATTTAAAAATCATGTATGTAATACTACCAGAATCTCAATTTACCTCAAACTGTTGTGCTTTATATCTTTTTATACTTTTGAATGGTGTCTTGTATAAAAAATCATAATTATTACATAATTTCAGTTTTTTCAGTGTAACTTGATACCCTATGATTTTTATTTCTTAAAAAGTCCTTAAATCATGATGTTTTGTCATTCTGGGCACATAAAAGTCCACATTAGCTACTTCCTTGCAGTGCACATAGGAAAAAATTACCCTATGCATGCAGGTTGCAGTCTTGTAATTGACTGCTCCATAGGCTTACATGCAAAACAGCTGATCTTTGAAAATAAAAAAATAAAAAATGCTACATAGAAAATTTTTTTCATGTTCATATCATGTATGCACTAATGTAAAATTGTGATTTAATCGAAAAAAAGTGGGTCATGCAACGAAGAATAAAAAGGAATGTAACCCTGAAGTAAAAACAGTTTTTTTTTCTACTTTCTGTTTGCTGTTTTTACTAGGCCGCACCACTTCCAGTAAACATGATATCCTTCCACTTTCCTGGATTGATATCCCTAAAAAGATGCAAGATTTTTTAAAAATTTATATATATGTTTCAATTCAGCATAAACTTTTAATCAAACAGAATAAATTGAGTCCAGAAAAAAATTCAGAAAAAAATGGACTATTTTATTGCCCTCCATGTTGTGACATGCACCGGAAACTGGAGTTGTAATACAAGACTGGTACCTAAACAGGTGCCTATGCCATATATCAAGCTTGACCCGACTTTGCCCGAGTATAGCCACGATGTGAATACATTAAACAGATATTATAATAAAAGATCTGCAAATAACACCATACAAATTAAGAAATACAGATTAAGGAGAAACACATTGATGTAACTAGAGACCACCGCTGACGAACATGATGTTCCTAGTTTGGATTGACGTAGACATCTACATATAGCGAAGGTAACACTTTTTTCTTGAGATCGTTTCTAGTCTCGATCAGTAGGTGAAAAACAAAAGGAACACATATAATACAAATTGTTCAAACAAAAAACACGTAGTGTTTTTATATAATCTGAATAAAAGACAACAAAAATATATTAGTTATTACAAATATCTATCTCGTAGTAATAAGTTACAAAAATCTTATAAATTCAGAAATTACACAATTTGTAGTGTTATCATCATTACCGTTTCAAAATATACGATGTAACTTGTGATGCATTGGTTTCTTCCGCATATTTGGTATTAGATAAATTGCCCCCAGTTGTTTCATATCATATACTTTCCACAATAGTTGAATACACAGTTCCCCTCAGAGAAACTCTGGTTCTTAAATCATTAATTAGTGTCGTAGATAATATGACAAAACGGATGTCATCGGCAGAAATTTACAATAATTACATATAATTGATTCAATTTCTTAGAAAGTTTTCACCTCGCAACAACGCTTTCTTTTTATAATTTGATTTGTAAACTTAAAAAATCTTTTTTCTCTCTACTTGATACCAGTATGTTTGCTCAAATTAATCAGGGATCGGCATTTCCACAGACAATTTTCTATGATTTATGAGATAATCTTCATTGGTGTCTTACAACATCGTTTTTGATTTAATAAGGAAAGAGATGGAAGTTTGGAATCCATCATTTTACTCCAGCTAACAACATCCGTGTAATTATTTTTCTTGGGAACCGGTGACAGGTTGTTGACAATGGTAATGTCTTAAGACAGTGCCATGTCAATAGAAAAATCTACAATAAAGAGGAAATGTCAGCAATGTCTCTTAAAGAAAATGGAACTGCGTAATGGATGAAAAAAACATATAAAAACTCTAATAATTGCTTTTTTTAAAACGTTTTGTACAAGAATTGACTACCATGAATGACACAGAAGTCATTTCTAGAGATGTAAACAATGACAGCTTTGTGAACAATGATGAAAAATTAAATCTTAATTGATGTTTTTGAATCAGAAAAAGGAAAGATCCTATAACCGTAGACTTTGGACAATACCGTGAGGAACAATCAGGAGTGATTGATTAGAATCAATAGACAACAACATTAGAGAAACTGACTACAATAGATTTGAATAAAAGACAGATAACGATTTATGAACAGAAGAAAATTTCAATAGAGTGATTTTATCTTCAAGTATCACAAAGGCATTATTTTGAAAATATGATGTTGTTTTAATTTAGTGCAGAGATTTGCTAGGATTGAAATAATTCCCGTTTGTCTTTATTAATGATCTCTGTTTCGTATGCTGACAATAAATAAGGCATTACTGATAATTTACATGCTTTTTCTGGGGCAAATTAATTTTAATGACACAAGGGATTGCTCCACAATTGCTGATCAGGTGCAAGTGACATCAAGTGCAATAATGAAGATATAACTGTTAATGGTGATTGTCTAACAGTACTAGGAAACACACGGACAATTTCCAAACTATGATGATGGATAGCCAAAGTCTGGTGACAAGAATCGCACTTGTTTTTTTACTCCGAAATTCCGTCATAGCAGAACTTCGTGATAGAAATATCCAATGGCAGATACCTATAGGTAAGTCATTGACCTTTTTATCCCCAAAAATATATTTATTTTTTTATTATATTTTTTGTAATATCAGTTTTGTGTTATTCATATCTCTTATTGTAAGCACGTGTTTGTTTTGATTTTTAATACAACTGAAAGGTATCTAGAAATACAATCGCATGACAGTGTGTGGGGACGATGCAGTGGTTACTCGTGTGGGAAAGAAACAGGGGTTACCAACAGTTAATCCTGGAAAATTACATGTCTTCTCTATTGTAAACATACAAAGAAGACGTGGTATGATTTCCATAGAGACAACTCTTCACACGATACCAAAATGACACAGAAATTAACAACTATAGGTCACTGTACGGCCTTCAACAATGAGCCAAACCCCAACCGCATAGTCAGCTATAAAAGGCCCCGAAATGACAAATGTAAAACATTCAAACGAGAAAACTAACGGCCTAATTTATGTAAACATAATGAACGAATATACAGCAACAAACGACAACCACTGAATTACAGGCTCCTGACATGTGAAAGGCACATACAGAATGTGGCGGTGTTAAACTCGCCCCCCTAACCTGGGACAGTGGTTTAACAGTACAACATAAGAAAAAAATATAAAAATCAGTTGAAAAAAGCTTAATTCATCAGATGGAAACAAATAAAAATACATCTAACAAAAAACACAGACTGGACGTAGACGTGTACTTATACATCCCTACAACAAAAAGACACAAAGTACAGATCTGAGATTACTCGGGTACTGACTGCTAGTTCAAAGCCAATAACAACTAACAAAAAAAAAATCATGCATCTATGACTGTAGCTACAGACATTGTAATATTCATGTAATCTCGAGACCTCTTTTTTCGAAAAAAAAAAACAGAACGAATTATCATGCCGAAAAAAAATAAAGAGACTACGGTACTTTTAAACATTAAATCGACACTTAAATGATTCATGTGCATTTCTTTATTTGCAAATGATTACAGAGATGCATTACAAATAAGTACTGCAGGTTTACTCATTCCATTCTATGGCATATTTGAATATAAAGATAAAGATATGATTTACTAGTTGTGCTACTTTTTGTGTGAAGAAACTCTTTTCATATAATCGTTTATAATACATTTAGACCTTCTTTCTTTTAGAATAATATATTGTGACCTCACGCAGTTTGCTTTTTACACAGAATCAAACCCATTCAATACCATACAGTTGTACAACTAAAAAAATTGAGATATTGAAATACAAATTCCCAAATTTAATACATATTAACTAATGCACTGAAATATCACAGTATGATATTCACAGATGGTCAAGACTTAATAATATCTTAATAAGAACTTATCCTTGCACACAAATGTCCTGACTGTACTTCGCTGGACAGTGCAAAAATCTGTTCTTTTTTATCTCATCATTTTTGCCCCTTACTTGCGATTAAAATCAATATTGTGGTTACTGACATTTTATCAAAATATTACATTTGTTTTCCAGTTTATATTTGATATTGGTATACTAAAATAAAGATTGCAGTCCCATCATGCAACATTTTCCATTAACAATTTTGGCTATTCTGTTTATTTCTGATTGGTTTATGGTCTCGAACACTTAATACCTCCTTTAATCAGATTATATGTATACTATTGTTTCAAATCTTTTGGTCTCGATCGTCCATTATGCACAGGGGTTCAGAAAATCTTAATTGATAACGATATCTGCCCTTCACAACAGAAACACTGTTATTTCCAAATGTTAACATTGGTTAAGGAGCTGGTATCGTCACTGAATCAGATGTTCCTAGTCCAATTACATCTTGTTTTAATCGGAAACTCTCCAACTGCCCATACAAAAAGGTATTATGTATTTTTGAAAATAATTTCTTTTCCAGGTATAATCAAGGACAGACGAGATGAAGTGACGTTTACAGGGTTTTACTACGGTGTACAAATGTTAAAACAAGTACAGTCACAGGCATTCGAGCTGCATACTCCTGTTGAATATGTCGACAAGTCGGACAGTTATAAACTGGCTCAAGCAAGTAAGCTCCTTATAGTAAAACATGAAATAACAAAGTCGCGAGCACTTTTTGACCCAAGTTTCAAAATTATGTTCCGTATTTTACATACTTGTGCAAGTAAATGGTCATCCTGTTGGTATTTGCACTGTGCAGGTTGTTTTTGATCTATCTGAACCATGCTTTTCGTTTGCAGTTTTTCTTTCTTGTTTGCACGTTTATTTCCAAAAGGAGTAGAGAGTTGGTGGTTAATAAAATTGGTTGCAATGTCCTATATGTTTGGTAATTCATGTTATCCTTTTATGTATTATGATAAACACTGTTAAAAACTAATGTGTGGCAACTTAACAACTGTTTTGTTGTTTCTAGATTCTTGAAGTGTATTTGTTTTTCTCACACTGAAATAGTAAGTATCCTTGTCGGTCATACTCAGTATTTCCACATGAGGGGTCTTACAGTTTGGGCCTTTGTATATACAATCTGCTTCAAGTGGATAGATCTTTAAGCAGAGATAAGGAAAATTTTTTAAGTGATTTTATAGGTTAATTGAACAAATGTGCGCCACAGCTACATGTATGCTTACCGAAAAAGAAAAAAAAACAAAAGAAAAAAGGACTTACATCTCAGGTTAAACATTTTCTGAAAGTATTTCATCTAAATCTTCCGTTGTAGGATAAATCCTAAGATTTATCCTACAACGGAAAATTTAGATTAATCCTACAACGGAAGATTTAGATGAAATGCTTTCAGAAAATGCGAACATAATAAAATCCACAATGACACAATAAGTGAGATTCATCAGATGTTTTGCAATGGCTAACCTTTTGCCATTTGATATTTCCTTAACTGCTATTGCGGACATCAGGTTAACTCCAGTAGAAATGGATCACATTGATTTTTTTATATTCCCTAATGTATTAATGCATAAATGATCGTCGAAAATGTGTTTCTTTATACGTTATTCTTACGTTTCTATAAAGTATCGAAGCTTCTTCACAAATCTATGTATTTTATTTACAATGAGTAAAAGAATAAGCAATGATGCAAAAGACAATTTTGAGTTGGACAGGTGGTGTGGGCTCTTGCCAATCTTAAAGACTGAAGACGGCTTTTACAGTAAGGACTGTCCAAGCCGGTTTCCAGACTGAGTCTAGTTGACATTTACATCACATGTACAGTTCAAATTATTCATGATCATTTTATGAATTAAATCGGCATTATCGTTCAAATTCATGACAACCTAATTGACTCAAATTCTTAAATCCGATTTATAACATACTAAAACATTTATCAGATTTACAAAACTTCCATACATAGGAATAAAAAACCAATGCACGGAATCCTTATGAAGTATCAAACTTTCGTCCGTATTTTATGACTAGACTCCATCTAATCAACCATCGAAATGAACTCCGAAGATTCCTGATGGCCATGTTATTCCGATATAAATCTAGATATAAATAGACAGGCATTTGTATTTTTTCTTTCACAAATTGAGAATCAGGATCAAACGTTATAATCCCCCCCCCCCTTTTCAAAGAACTGGCTGTTCCCCTATAGTACATAGGAATATTTTGTCATGTAATAGAGTAAATGGTATTTATTTTAGCCTAATAAACGGAGGAAAAAGGATTGTTTCTGACTAAACTTTTATAATGTTCAAGATAGAAAATTGTACAGTAAAACCCCAATTGGCAACAACACTCGAATTAAATGTTTTAGTTTTCTGTACTTTGCATTTTAATCAGGGTAAATAATGACCTGACACAGGAGATTATTTTATGCCTTGAAGCACATTTCATTGAAACTTGGTACATGTATCTTCCAGGTTGTTTCTTCAAAATAATGACCTGTAGTTCTGAAGGGAAATAACTCCATATAGTTCAAAATAATGATAAAATTGAGAATGGAAATGGGGAATGTGTCAAAGAGACAACAACCCGACCATAGAGCAGACAACAGCCGAATGCCACCAATGGGTCTTCAATGCAGCGAAAAACTCCTGCACCCGGAGGCATCCTTCAGTTGGCCCCTAAAGAAATATGTATACTAGTTCAGTGATAATGGACGTCATACTAAACTCCAAATTATACACAAGAAACAAAAATTATAAATGATACAAGACTAACAAAGGCCAGAGGCTCCTGACTTGGGACAGGCGCAAAAATGCGGCGGGGTTAAACATGTTTTTTGAGATATCAACCCTCCCCCTATACCTCTAGCCAATGTAGAAAAAACAAACGTACAACAGTACGCACAGTAAAACTCAGTTTAAGAAAAGTCCGAGTCCGATGTCAGAATAGGAAACAAAAGAAAATAAACAAAATCACAATAATACATAAATAACAACAGACTACTAGCAGTTACTGACATGCCAGCTCCAGACCTCAATTAAACTGATTGAAAGATTATGTCTTTATCATATGAATATCAGGCACAATCCCTCCTGTTAGGGGTTTAGTATTATACCATCATAAAATATATGAGAAGAACATAACCCGTGTCATGCCAACAACTGGTTTTAGAATAAATATGTTTAATTCAGATGCAAAGACCCTATAAGTGAATCAATATTAAAGCCAAAATATGCAATCTTTCATGACCTGACAACAGTATCGTGACTATATCCCTTCTTAATAAGTCTGTTTAAAGGTTTTGTTAGCTTTTGAGGTGAACCTGTCGTTCTGAAAGAAAATACCTCCATATAGGTATATAATTGTACTGATTAATCCAAACTCAAATAGATTTGTATGTTATGTGTTACTATGTATAGGCACTTATATATTCCCTCTTAAGAATTCTTGTGTGGGTTAAAAAAAACAACGGAAAGTCGTGCATTATTCCTATACTATTCTGATAATACTTGCACTGATCTATTAAAAAGGACTTAAAACAAAATACATACTAACAAACGAACAAACCAACAAAATCACGCATAAACATTATATAAAAGTAAAACTTGTTTTTAAATACCGAAGGAGTAGATCGTGCAACTTTTTGTTCCTGCCTTCAGATGTATAATCAATTCATTTGTAATAACTCAAAACAAAGAAATAAAACGACATTTAAATCTCTTAAAAAATTAATCGAATACGTTTTGTTCTTCACGCATATAACAGAAAAACCATTTAAGTCAATTATCGCATAGAGCATCAAGAATTTAGATTATATTATTTGTACGATTGGAATCTCCAAAGGTTTCAAAACGTGCGATTAAACAAATTACAATCCTCTCACTTTACTATTTTTCAATTACAGTTTTTTTTTAAATGACTTCTCCGAGAATAACGGATAAGCTGTATTTCTTTAAACATTTTTTACTATTAAGGCACCAGCCACGTCTTTGGATGACATTCAGTGATAATTACTCTATGTTTGTGTCACTGAGTTATTCTGTCCGTCGGTTAATCAACTCTGTCCTTGTGTACTGTGTTATTTTGTCCGTCGGTTAATAGGGCAAAAGGCATGTTCGTTCGAAAACATCCAGGGATAATCACTCTGCCCTTTTGTTCTGTGTTATTCTGTTCGTCGGTTAATAGGGCAACAGCCACGGTCGTCAGACAACATATATTGATAATCGCTCTGTCCCTACGTTTCTGTGTTATTCTGCCCGTCAGCATATTTTTATGCAAGACCTTAACTCAATATAAAAGTAGGAACATGTGGAATGATTGCCAATGAGACAACTCTCCACCAGGGACCAAATGACATATCCTTTACCAACTATAGGTTACCGTACGATCTTCAACAATGAGCAAAACCAATATCGCATATCAGGCCATAATTCAAAGGTCCCGAAATGACAAATGTAAAACAATTCAAATGAGAAAAGTAACAGTCTGATTTATGTTAAAAAACAATCAACGAAAAACAAATCTGACACATGTATACAGCAACAAACGACAACCACTGAATTACTGGCTTCTGACTTGGGACAGGTACATTCATAATTTGACGGGTTTAAACATGTTTGCAAGAGCCCAACCGTCTCCATAATCTGGGACGTTGATGTAACAGTGCAGCGTAAGTACAAACTTGAAAAATCAGTTGAAAAGGCTTAACTCATCAAATCGATACAACGCACCTGCAGAAACAGCTAGTTCAATATAAAAATAAGGAGATGTGGTATGATTGCCAATGAGACAACTATCCACCAAAGTTCAAATAAAGTGGAAGTTTGCTTTCCCTAGTGTATCTTATATGGATTGTTATCGTTTATTTGTTTATTTCACTCCAGTCGTTCGGGTGTTATTAGATATGATACTAATAAAAGGGGGGATCTTAATGTTTGATATTTTTCAAAGAGTAAATTCGTTTTATATTTAAAACTCAAACAAAAATAATGTGTATGTAGATATAAGAATATGTGGTACGAGTGCCAATGAGACAACTCTCCATCCAAGTCACAATTTGTAAAAGTAAACCATTATAGGTTAAAGTACGGCCTTCAACACGGAGCCTTGGCTCATACCGAACAGCAAGCTATAAAGGGCTCCAAAAATTACTAGCATAAAACTATTCAAAAAGGAAAACCAACGGTCTGATCTATATAAAAAACGAGAAACAAGAAACACTTATGAACCACATCAACAAACGAAAACCACTGAACATCAGGTTCCTGACTTAGGAAAAGTGCAAACAAATGCAGTGGGTTTAAACGTTTTAACAGGCGCCAACCTTCACCCTACCTGAAACAATATTGTAAAATCACAACATAGAAAGACACACTATAAAACATTAATTGAAATGGCTTAACTCAATCAAAAGACATATTAACAAAAACAAGTGAACATACACTGAACGAATAAATTTGATCTATGAAACAATGTAAATACAAAATTAAAAAAACAAGGGGTTAGATGTAAAACAATATCAAAAATACAACCATAACCATGGACAAAATGCCGCCAAATAAAATAACGTACACAGGTAAATAAAAATAATTTTGTTGTAAGGTATAATACATGGAGTACGGAAATAGTTTTTACAAAATAAATAATTTTGTTGTATGTGTTCTCATGTTG